AATGGGGCCTTATCCACTCAATGCCCAGGCAGATGTTCAGGCACTTAAGAGAATCCAGTCACCTGGATCAGCAGCCTGAGTCACCCCACTCTTCCTATGCAGAGATTGTGGTACAGAGGGGCCCTTTGCATTCCACACCCAGGCAGATGTCTGGGCCCCTGGAGAACCCACTCTTCTAGGTTAGTAGTACAGGCTTCTCCCTCTCCTTGCCTATGAAGATAAATTAGAACTGAAAAAATTGTATAGCTCTATGCCTAGGCACACCTGTGCATACCTGGCAGCTGTCCACTGGTTTCTCATTTGGCAGTGATGTTTGTGCCTGCCATTAGGAGACATGTATGTGGACCTGCCTACTTGGTTCCTGCCCACCCCATCCCCAGGGGCTGAGTAGGGAGTTCAGGCCAATATGCATTCTATGAGTCAGCCCATTACCTGATAAAACAGTGAGTTTCTGCCAGTAAACAAGGATCAGTATACACCTGGTCATGTTGGCTGCAGCCAGCTCTTACCTATAAGTGTCATCTAAGGGCTTATAGGATAAACTACATAGTGTAATATAAAACCTGAGAAAGAAGTGCATAGGGGTACAGAAGCAAAGCCAAAAGACCTTACCCAGCATCCTCTACAGTTACACTCCCTAGGGAAGGGGAAAAGGGAAAAAAAAATTAATGGTACAGGGGAAGAAAGAAAAACACATAATCCTACTCATACGAAAATAATTATAAAAATTAGAAGTTATCATTATCTCCAGATGAGAAAAAAAAACATAGCAAGAATTCTGCCATGATGAAAAAAAATATGAATGTAGTGATACCACTGAAGGATCACACCATCGTGTGGAGACTTTGTCTCCAGCAATGTCCTCTAACAAAAAAGAAAACTCAAAAGTGACAGATAAAGGATTCATATCAAGAACTGCAAGAAAGCTCAATGAGTTCCAAGGCAAGGTTAAAAATCACAAAAAGAAACTCCTAAAGCAACCCAGGAAATGAAAGAAGATATAAACATATTAAAAAGAAATGAATCGGGCTCCTGGAATTCAAAAACTCACATAAGAAATTTTATTTTATTTTTTTAAAATAATATCAAACATCTGTTTTCTTTCTTTTTTAAAAATTTTTTATTGCATTTTAGGTTTTGGGGTACATGAGCAGAACATGCAAGACAGTTGCGTAGGTACACACATGGCAGTGTGTTTTGCTTCCTTTCTCCCCTTCACCCACATTTGGCATTTCTCCCCAGGCTATCCCTCCCCACCTCCCCTCCCAGTGGCCCTCCCCTTTTCCCCGCAATAGACCCCAGTGTTTAGTACTCCCCTCCCTGTGTCCATGTATTCTCATTTTTCATCACCCACCTATGAGTGAGAATATGCAGTGTTTCATTTTCTGTTCTTGTGTCAGTTTGCTGAGGACGATGTTCTCCAGATTCATCCATGTCCCCACAAACGACACAAACTCATCATTTCTGATTGCTGCATAATATTCCATGGTATATATGTGCCACATTTTTCCAATCCAGTCTATTATCAATGGGCATTTGGGTTGATTCCAGGTCTTTGCTATTGTAAACAGTGCTGCAATGAACATTCGTGTACATGTGTCCTTATACAACTGGATCCTTTATCAACAAACTGGGCCAACTGAAACAGAGAATTTCCGAGCTTGAAGAGTAATCTTTTAAACGAACCCAGTCAGACAAAAATGAAGAAAAAAGAGTTATAAAGTGAACAAAGTCTTTAAGAAATATGGTGTTATATAAAGCAAACAAACTTATGAATTATTAGCATTTCTGAAAGAGAGAGAAAAAGTGAACAACCTGCAAAATGTATTTGAAGGAATAATTAGAAATTTTTTTCTAATCTTGCCAGAGAGGTAGAGATTTGGATACAAGATACCCGAAGAAAACATGTGAGATACTATACAAAACAAGTATCACCAAGGCATATCATCACCAAAGTGTCCAAGATCAACCATAAAGAAAAAAATTTAAAGGCAGATAAAGAAGAAGGCCAGATCATGTTCAACATGAACCACATCAGGCTAACAGCAGACTTCTTAGCAGGAATCTTATCAGTAACAAGAGACTGGAGGCAAATTTTCAGCACTACTAAAGAAAAAAAAATCTAAATATTTTTTGAAGACAGATTGTTGCTCTGTCACCCAGGCTGGAGTGCAGTGGTGTGATCTCGACTCACTGCAATCTTTGCCTCTTGGGTCCAAGCAATTCTCCTGTCTCTATCTCCCAAGTGGCTGGAATTACAGGTGCATGCTACCACACCAAGCTAATTGTTTTGTATTTTGGTAAAGACAGGGTTTCCCCATGTTTTCCAGGATGGTCTCAAACTCCCAGCTCATGAAACTCACCCGCCTCAGCCTCCCAAAGTTTTCAATGCTATTCCTTTCAAACTTCCAATGTCATTTTTCTCAGAATTAGAAAAAATTAAAATTCATATGGAACCAAAAAAGAGCCCAAATAGACAAAGCAATGTCTATTTGCAGAGGCATTACATTACCTAACTTCAAACTACTATAAGGCTGCAGTAGCCAAAACAGCATGGCAATGGTACAAAAACAGACACACAGACCAATGGAACAGAACAGAGAACCCAGAAATAAAGTCACACACCTACAGCCATTTGATCTTCAACAAAGCTGACAAAAGTAAGCAAATGGTGAAGGGACTTCTTATTTAATAAAGATGCTGGGATAACTGGCTAGGTGTATGCAGAATGAAAATAAATTCCATGCTCTCACTTATAACTGGGAGCCATGGGCTATTTTGGCATTACTTTTAATGGCAAAAACCACAATTACTTTTGCACCAACCTAAATAAAAATTGAGTACTTATAGACATGAAGATGGCAACAATAAACACTGAAGACTAACAGATGGAAAGAGTAGAAGAAGGGGAAGGGCTGAAAAGCTAACCGCTGTATACTCTGAGGACTACCTGGGTGACAGCATTATTCATATCTCAAACCTCAGCATCGCCCGGTATATCCATGTAATAAACTGGCACATGTAACCCATGAATCTAAAATAAAAGTTAAAATTATAACAATCAAAATTAAAAATTAAATTAAAAGGACAAAAGATCTCAATTATCATAGTCCCTTCTATTCAGTTTTTTACATTTCAGTTACCTGTGGTTTACTACAGTCTGAAATATTAAATGCAGTATTCCAGAAAGAAAGAAAAAGAAATCCTTCAAGGCAGAAATGCTTCAAGTTTAATTATTTAAACAACTGAACAACTGCCTAGAAAATAAAGTTCATGGCAAACAAGAGACTAAATATTCAAGAATTCTGAGTTAAAGAATTATTTTCCAATTGAAAAAGAAAACCTCTGCTTGGGCATAAGGAATTGATCCCATTTGGTCCAGCTCATATGGAGTATTTAGTCACATCTGTGATTCTCTACTCTTAGATCTTCAATACATTGACTCCTCCAGCATTTACTAAAATGACTCAGTAATTTCAATTTTGATGCTTTCTTCCCCTCCTAACTTCCAATATTACTTCTATTACTTCTATGTTTACTACCACATCTTTAATAGACTTATTCAAGAAAAAATTTTTTTAATCCAGCACTGTGCTAGCTACTGAGGCACATGGTATATAGTAATCAGATCACGGATGGTTCTGTTTAAATAAATATGGATTCTGACTCATGAAGTAAGACAGTTAAAGCAGATTTAGGCTCTTCAACAAATAGCTGAGCTGTACTGCAAAAACGTACCACATCATGTAATTGGAGAGTTTTAGACAAATATACATCTGATAGCACCATCAAAGCTGCATATTCATATGTGTAACTTTCCCTATCCTAACTTTCCAAAAAGCCAATATCTGCATTCAAGGCAGATAAATCTTCATTATTGTAGAAGTGAGTGATATTATTTTATATTAATGTACATTAATTAATAATAAACTAGCTAAATAAAAAATGTGCTGCAGAACAAGAAAATGATTAGAAGCACAGTGACTTATCTATTTGTAAAGATGTAAATATTTATAAACAAGTATGGGATGATATATTTCCTTCTTCTGTTAAAATACTTTAAAAGTAACAAATTAAATTATCTTTAACAAATCTTGAGGTCAAGAGAACAAGGCATATTCCTGGCAAATCCTGTTAATTGAAATACTGTTCTATCCCTATTTAAAAGCAATTTAAAAGAAGTTCCAACTCTATTTAAAAGCAATTTAAAAGAAGTATTAGATTACTTTTCAGCATGGCTCTGTCAAAACAATGAAGAAATTCAATAATTTAGCTTTGCAAAATCAAGAAATGTAAATAAAATGAGATGCATTTATGCAGTCTTGGGCATTGTGTTTTCATTACACTTTCAGTGTTTCCCTTAACTTGTGAAAATTTTGTCAGTTTGAAGAAAAGAATAACAAAACTAAAAATTTTATCATGTCTAAAGAATTCAAATCCAACTCTAATCTCCAAAGATGTTGGCCTTTCATGTTTTCATAAAGTGGATCATTTTACTTCATGGGTCTGTAAAGCAACGTATTATATTGCTTTGGTTTTATTATACTTCAATATAATAATTTATTATTTGCAATGTAATAATATCAAATATATTAACCAGAAATATTAACTAATTTTTATCTGATTTGTATAATTATTTTTGTACATCATGTAACAATCACCATAACATGGCTAGCCAGATGTTCTAACTTCATATCAGAAGATCTATATTTACAAGATACAAAAGAAGAAGATAATTTAATTTTTGCATCTTAGAGTTAGAAGAAGGGAAGCTGAGCAATGTTCTCTTGGTCTTAATTATTATTAGAGGGCATAACCCTTACCTAACAAAACCTGTGTTTCCTCTGCAACCCACCAAAGACCTATGACATTTATATAGCTTTACAATTCAGTTTTACCTGATCTTAACTAGTCAATGTGTCTTGTCCTTCTCTAAATTCCTTACCTATTATAAGCAGAATGGCTTCTTAGACGAAAAAAAAGAGAAACAAAAAACGCACCATTACTTGTCAAAAACTGGAGGGTCTGAAAAAGAAATATAGAACAGATCTATCATCTTCTCTACTCAAGAATAAGAAGCATAATAGCATAATTTTACCTTTTCTTTTTTTTTTTTTTTTTTTGAGACAGAGTCTTACTCTGTTGCCCAGGTTAGAGTGCAGTGGTGCAATCTCAGCTCACTGCATCCTCCACCTCCTGGGTTCAAGCAATTCTCCAGCCTCACTCTCAGGAGTAGCTGGGACTACAGGTGCATGCCACCATGCCCAGATAATTTTTTGTAGTTTTAGGAGAGACAGGGTTTCCCCATGTTAGCTAGGATGGTCTTGATCTCCTGACCTTGTGATCCACCAGCCTCAGCCTTCCAAAGTGCTAGAATTACAGGCATGAGCCACTGTGCTAGGCCAATTTTATTTTTTCAGTAAAGTTTTTTGCTAACCAAGGGATCATGTAAAAATAATCAGATGGCAGCATGATGCTAATTTAAATAGAGTTCCTGGCTGTGCTCTGGCCTTTTGGTACCAGTTAACTAACTAGAAGTTGGTATAAGGATGCCACAGCTAATCATGTAATTCCTGTGCCTTTATACAATCACTGGCTGTGTAATGTGCATTAATTTAGAAAACAGGAATCAATATCAACTGAGAATAGCCAGCTCTACTCTACTGAAAACACAGTGGTAAAGAGGTAATTAAGAGGCAAGCCTGAATAAGGAAAGAGTACTCTGACAAGTTTTGGAGCCAAAATTCACTGTGAAACCCATTAAAAAATAATAAACAGTTTCAATTTCAAGACATCAAACATCATAAGACAAAATAAATAAATATAGCAGGGAAGCATTATAACTGTATTCTGTGTCTTTTCTTAGAGCCTACATCTTAATGTCCACTCAGTTGAAATGCAGCAACACAAAGTCATGTGTAATAGTCACAGGACCAAAACAGTAGCATCAAATCGATATCTGTCTAGATAGAAAATGTCAAACTCAGAAGCTCTACATAAAATCATTTTCAAAGGACAAAATAAAGGCTACCATCTTGACAAAGGAAATATAAAACAAATACAGGACTAAAACAACCTGTATATTTTTTAGAATGAGCTACATTTGAAAAAAAAAATAATATTTATGCAGTGATCAGTTACTTACATTTTGTAGAAACAAAAAGCAAAGGGTTATAGTGTTTGCTTATGTATAGAAGACAAAAGGGTAGTAGGATCTGGTATGTGGTTGAGAAGAAAAAGAACAAAAACAGTGATTTATCTGACCATTTAGGATAAATAAGTAAATAACTGTAAACAGCAAACACAATGTTCCTTTTCACCTTTAAGATGCACTTTAAATAGCAAAGCAAATGTGTTTCCCCCTCATTCTGGCTGTTTTGTACACATTAATTAATTAATCCCAAAATTATCCTTGTGAATTTGAATAGGTATTTCCTCTCTGTGTTCTACAAAAGAAAAAAAAACATAATACTAATTATGTACATTTATGGCTCTTTTTTCCTTAGGGTTTCAGGGTGCTTTAGGGTTTTAAAATTACTAAACATATTAGTCATTAATGACAGTTCTGTTAAGTATATAAAGCTATCATTGTAAGTATGAAAAATGAGGAAGAAACGTTATCAAGCATTTTATTCTTATAAAAATCACCCCTATACATCAGACTCATTCAAGTTTGGTAACAATACTAGGGTAATACAAAGATACTACTTCAAAAATATGAAGAGATGATACAACTCTTTTTCTTTAAAGGCACTAAAAAATTGGCCTCAATTAAGTCCTAAACTTTTAAAATTAAAAAAAAGGGAAACAGGGAAGTTGCAACTTCATTATCTGTTAAGAATAATAATACATGATACATTCATTAATTCATTCAACAACTGAGTTTTGTTTATAGAGCTGTCATTCTAGGTTCATGGAATACAGAAATTAACAATGCAAGGCCCCTCTTTATGGAGGTTACCTTCCAGAGGAGGAGAAGGGTAACTAAAAAGTAAACAAATTAAATAATTTCAGTTGAAAAATAAATTTCAATGAAGCAAATAGAGTAAGGAAGCAAAGGGTGATGGCTTCTTATTTCAGTTATATCAAGGTGCTCAAGTGACAGCCTTGGCAGGAGCAAATGGTAAGAGGGGGATGTAACACAGGAATCCAGGTAAAAGACACAAGAATATGAGAAGAAAATGTCCCATTCGTGTGAAGACTAAATAATATAACGCATGTGAGATTCTTAGCATCCTGTAAGCATTCAATACAGGTTGTGTGGTTTGGTTTGTTTATTTGAGTTTTTCTTTGAGAACTGCTGGAACACTCTAAGCTTTAATTACTACATATTCTTTAGTTAATATACCCAGTGAGACAAACTGTTCTTCTCAGAGGAGGAACAAGCTCTATCATCATGGTCCTCAACTCGACCTGTACATCAGCATTATCTGGGAGAATTCTTTGAAAAAACTGATGCCCTGGAAGTCTAAACCTTCTGATATTCAAATTCCATAGCTAGGATTGAGAATCAGTTGTCACTCCTACAGCCTTGTCCACCTGACCCGTCGTCTAGCCACAGCACAAGACTCAAGCAATGACGACTTGACAGATAATGCTGATGCCTCCAAATATGGCCGCTTAAGAAATAAACAGGAAAGTTATGGCACTTGCTCAGGTATTCAAAATTAAAAAATATTAAAGCCCTGTGGAGAATCAGGTCTATGGGCTAAATTTGGCCTACAGATTGGCAATTTGCCACAGCTGCAAAATGCACACTATTTGATTGTGCCAATTACAAAGGACTCTACTTATAGTAATGAAGGTCTGCAAAGGGTGAAAAGTGGCTGGAATGTCAATACACATATTCTGTGCAAAGTTCAATATCCCCTCCATTCTGAAAGAGCATTCATTAGGCTGTTGATGCCAAGAAGTAATCCCATTTTCATCAGTAAATGATTGTAACAGGAATTAGAAAAAGACTAAAGGGAACAAGCCAGGAAAGAAAGCAAAGACTACTGTCATTTAATAAACTCTATTAAATACTACTGAGACGACTCAAGATGGCACTGTGAAAACAACCCAGGATTGAGGCTCTCCCTGAATGCGCAGAGAAGGTGAGTCAGGGACGCATTTCCAGACGGACCTTTGTTGCCCACAGAATGGGGAAATTCCCAGATATAAAACAAACGCGGGACACCAGCCAGAGATCTTGACTGGTGTAACCAGCAGCCGGTGCGGCTGCGGCCCGCGCCGAAGCACAGAGGCGCTCCACAGAGGTCCGCACAAAAGCGCACTGTTCCGGGTGCCCTGTTGAACTGGCAATCTGAGACCTGAGAGGGCTGAACTTGAGACTGAACGGGACTTGAACAGTGAGCCAGCCCAGGACAAAGCGTTAGGGGTAGCGCAGTGCAACAAACAAAACGAGATTCCAAACGGTCCCTGCTAGGAGGTTACCTTAAGGCGCAGCTCCGTGCGGGAGGGGCGTCCGCCATTACCGAGGCAATCAGCCCCTACTGAGGTACACGCCCATTGCTGACGCAGCCTGCCGTTGCCGAGGCAACCCGGTACAAGAGACAGACTCCGCCGCAGGACGCCCGCGGCTGCAGGGCGGAGCCTCAGCAGGACAAGACTGCCTCCTAGCTGGGCAGGACAACCCAGCAGACACTCAAAAATAAAGCCCCAACCCCTTCAGAAAGAGCAGCTGAGAAAAAAAGGGCTTTTTTATGAGTTCTGTTGCAGCAGAATTAAACATGGCAGTCTAACAGCCCTGAATGAACATCAGAGCTCACAGCTCAGCACTTGAGCTCTTATAAAGTACAGACTGTCTCCTCAAGCAGCTCCCTGACCCCTCTATATCCAAAAGACTGACATTTGGCAGGCATCATTCTGGGACAAAGATAGCAGAAAAAGAAACTGGTAGCATCCCTACTGTTCTGCAGCTGCTATAGGTGCACCCAAGATAAGCAGGGCCTGGAGTGGGCCTCTGCAGTCGTACAGCGAAGGGGCTAGACTGGTAGAAGGAAAACCAAGTAACAGAAATACTTCATCATCAACAATCTGGGGGTCCACTCAAAGACCCAATCGAAAAGTCAGCAACTACACAGACGACAGGTGGATAAATCCACAAAGATGGGAAGAAACCAGCGAAAAAAGGAGGAAAACACCCGAAACAAGAACACCTTGCCTCCTAGAAAGGACCAAAACTCCTCACCAGCAAGGGAACAAAGCTGGATGGAGAATGACTGTGATGTAATGACAGAATAAGACTTCAGAAGGTGGATAATGAGAAACTTTTGTGAGCTAAAAGATCATGTTTCAAATCAATACAAAGAAACTAAGAACCTTGAAAAAAGATTCGAGGAAATGATAACAAGAATGGATAACTTAGAGAGGAATATGAATGAATTAAAGGAGATGAAAAACACAATATGAGAACTTCGTGAAGTATGCACAAGTTTCAATAGCCGAATTGACCAAGCAGAAAAAAGAATTTCAGAAGTCAAAGATAAACTCAATGAAATAAAACGAGAAACCAAGATCAGAGAAAAAAGCACAAAAAGGAATGAACAAAGTCTCCAAGAAATGTGGGACTATGTGAAGAGACCTAACCTATGTTTGATAGGCGTACCAGAATGTGACAAAGAGAATAAATCTAAGTTGGAAAATACTCTTCAGGACATTATCCAGGAAAATTTCCCCCACCTAGCAAGACAGGCCAACACTCAATTGCAGGAAATACAGAGAACACCACAAAGATATTCCGCAAGAAGAGCAACCCCAAGGCACATAATCGTCAGATTCAACAAGGTTGAAATAAAGGAGAAAATACTAAGGGCAGCCAGAGAGAAAGGTCGGGTCACCCACAAAGGGAAGCCCATTAGACTCACAGCAGATCTCTCCGCAGAAACACTACAAGCCAGAAGAGAGTGGGGGCCAATATTCAACAATCTTAAAGAAAAGAACTTTCAACCCAGAAGTTCATATCCAGCCAAACTGAGCTTCAGAAGTGAAGGAAAAATAAAATCCTTTGTGAACAAGCAAGT